GATTTTGAGATGATCGATATTAATTGCAAGTGCAGTCCCGGGCACTTCGAGGCGCTTAGGAACGCGTTTGTGAAATGCGCATAAACGCCGAGAGTGCATTCGGCGGTGCGGTCACGGATAAAACACGACTGGATTCGGGCCAATAAACCCTCCGCGTCTTGGCCTTCGTTCTCACTTATCAGCAAACGTGTTCCGTTCTCGTCTCAGCCATCATTTATCAATGATTCGCCCACAGATTTCACAATGATCTGCATCCGAACGAGGGAAGTTGTTCGATATTCCTTTTTACATAAGTGTCGTGTGCCGATTACTACCGCAATTGAATTCTTGCTCGTAATCTCACGATCTCCCAACATTTTAAATTAATAAATTTTATTAATTTACATAAGCTTAAGTAATAAAGATATTAATTTATTAATCATGTTGCATGATAACGCGTAACATCAATCTTAAATACAGAGTATCTTTGAAAAAAAAAAAAGGAAAAAAATTATTTTTATGCAAAAGATAAAATCTTATTGAATTTTTATGCTATTACGTTAAATTTATTTTGTTTTCGTAGAAATTAAAAAGGAGGATTTTAAAATTATCTGATATTGATAAAAATTGTTCTCTTTTAATTTAAGATTTTACGTTCATAAAGTTTTAATTTCAAGTTTAATCAGTAAGATATTTACATAATATTGAAAACCTAAAATCTATGAGAAAAGAAAAAATCAACTAATTAAACTTTTCTTAAAAATTGCTTCAAAATTCGATACTGTGTTTCACCGTCATTGTCTGAGGCGTTTCATACATTGCACATTATTGTTTTCAAATTTACGATTTCAACATGATTCGAAAGAAACAAATATTTGTACAGATTTTTCCTGTTTTATTTCAATATTCTGTGCATTAACTTTTTTTATGATTTCGACGTGCTTCATCGTGCTAATATCATGCTTGCGGTCTTCGAGAAAGGCTTGAATCAACAATGTCAATTTTCATATATTGCATGCTTCGTCCGAGCTTTGATCTCTGGCAGATGGCCACAAGCTCACTCGATTCTTGATAAAGATTCATACTCTCACGCAATTCCTTTCTATTATTGAATGATATTGAAAGAGTCAAATGGGAGAAAGCTAATCTTCGGAGCTATATATAAGGTTGTTTCGTTTGCAATTAAATCTGCAAAAATAATTAATAATTTTTAGTACTATATGAATGAAGTATATGAAGAAAGGAACATGTAAGAATGAACTGATATAACTTTTGAACGTGGTAGAAATTTTGTTGTCGAATGTTTTCGATACATTGAAAAAAAATTGAATAGTATACAGCGATATTTATTTGAATTTTAACCCCGCAATTAATCAGTTCTTAAGTAGTAATCTTACAATCGTTTTGGCGTAATTGCGAGGTCAAACATTTGACCCCAGATAATGGAAGATCGTTTCCGAACAACGCAACCCCACGTATTGATACAATAATTGGCTCCAATTTAGTAAGCGATGTGCAACTAAATGCAAAAGCTCGGCAGTTATAAATAAACGTAAGCTGTGTTCGCGCGCGCGCGCACGTTCCAAGTCGTTTGCGCAATTTCTCTCGCAGAATTGCTAATTGTAACGTACGTTACACGTGTACGAAAGAAGCCAGCAAAAGTTTACAATCTTATTTTTCCGTGCTCGATGTTTCGTAAAACGTAGAAATATATACATATATTTTGAGTCATTATTTTTAGTATAATTATTTTCTATTATTACGTAAAACATGGGCTTTTATGCTGAAAAGAATACATTATGTACGCAAATACTTTATTCTATTTTAAAGGCATGAGACTGAGGATTGCATAAGGCGGATATGTTTTACGATTATTGCGACTGTTACAAAGCTCCACCGCGAATAATTTTTCATCAAAATATAAAATGAAATATCATCGAACACGTGCAATTTTTCGCAGAACGATGAGCGACAGAAAGATCAGAAGGGGGAGACGAGATGCGGTAGATTTGGATAATTTATGCGTGGGCTAGAAACCGGTCGGTTTAAATAGCAATGAGAACGTCGTCCGATGTCAATTGACATAAGTTGATTTGTCGATAAAACGAGCGAGAGTGGGCGTCGAGAAATTTATTCCTAGAAATATTGACGAGAATTGAAGCGGATCGATCCGGTGTGCCGATTCTTCATTGGCGTTTGCCTCCTATCTTATTTCCCCCCCCCCCGTTTGTCTCTTATTTGCTTTCTTTCGACGACGTCTAGGAGAGTGCAGCATTAATCTTGGCGTGATAAGAGGAGTAAGTACGGTGTAATCAATCGTGGAGAAGTTTTGTAACATCGGAGAAAGAACGAGAAGAAAAAAAAGGTGGAGCTGTTTATTTTATGACGTAGCTCTGAACGACAGTAATTATAATGCGTATAAGCTATAATTATGTGTACATAGGGTGTAGTAGTCATGTAAGGCACTATGAGCGAACTAAGAATGTTGACTTTTTCATTGGTCTTCGAATTTTTTAAAACCCAGAAAATTTCACAATTTAATATAATGATTAATTTTATTTTTAATCTGCCGATTGACGTTACGAAAATATTGAAAGCTAAATGTCGGAGTTAGAAAATTACAATGAAAGATGGTGATCGATTAAATCGTATTCTTAATACGAAAAAAAATCAATTGTGTGTCAGAGAATTGATTTTTTTTCTTCATATAATTGCGAAACACGATGTTAAATAAAGTTTGTATCGATAACAAAATTGATTCACGAAATTCACGTAAGCGACTACACCATCGATTATATACAATTAGACATGACTCATGCACTAAATCGGTTCTGATAAATATCGTGATGGTTTCTTTTGACTTTTAACTCTTTGTAATCCTTTGCTAACGTCATTAGCAAATATATTTCAACTGATAATACTCGTATATCATTCGAGAGGTTCGCCGAAAGGAATCGATTTTATTTAAACTGGTGGTTTCTCTCATTTAAAATTAATTAGATAAGGCAAGATGGACTTGTCCTTTTAACGAAAAAACACAAAAATTACGGTATAAATAAGTTAAAAAAAAAAATTAGATTCAAGAAGCTTATTACTTTTTGCACTTATAAAAGTAGATTGATGTAATATGTTAAAATTTATGCTAAAAAAAATTCTGCGGACGATAACGATGATATGCTGATAACGCGTGACGCAAAACGCGGTTTAGCGTAGACACGTTAAATGGAAAGAATCATTGTAAATCTTGCAACGATACTTTATGCGTTATTAGTCGTATTGTCGCTAACACGATCTTCGAACTCGTGGAAAAGTACCCAAGACTTTTCATACTTTTCCGTACATTGACTCTTGATGTTTTTCTTCCACGGAAACTTGCCGCAACATTGAATACGTCGAATTACACGCACGAGCGCCTCTTCGATATCTCATTTGCCATATTTTTGTGTCAATTAATTAACGGCATGTATATTTGTGACATGATAAATTTCATTCTTTTGCGTCAGCTTTGTGTATCAGATGTGTAAATTGTGGTTTATTGACATAGCTTGTTACAAAACTTTTATAACTTTGTACCCGGTAAGCCTTACGCGCACCAATTCTCGACATTCTCTGTCAACAATGAAAAGGACAGTCACGACGGTGATGTTTATTATGACCGATATATATGACCGATTACGATCTGAGGACTCATCTTTCATTGATAATCGCTTATCTGTCGTAACGAAGATTCTTAAAGTTTACATGAGACTTACACTTTAACTTCGTTAACACAGCATCTTGGCGAGTTCGAGCTAACATCACATTGTAACATAAATGTCAATAAAAATAAATATTATACCTTCGTAGCATTTATCTTTCAATTTTTTAATTGCAGAATTCACGTTGGTCTTTCTTTTAATTATTTTGAATTAATATCTGGAATTTTAATGCGATTTAAAATAAAATCAATGTGATTGGCTTATAGATATGTGTGATTATTGAGTAGTATTGATCAAATTGCGCGTAGACAAACATCTCTAAAATTATTCAAAGATTATCTGAGAGAGCGGGATGTCTTTGTGACGTTTTCGTGACGTCTTTTCGTGCATGCCATTCATATTTATTTGTGACAGTTTCGTTTGATGATTCGCGGCTCAATTAAACTCGTATATCTCTTGTGGTGTAACCCTCACCTCGGCATTGGTCCCGCTATTCGTCCTTCAGTTATTTCCGTGAGAATTTGGCAAAGATGTACACAAGCGGCAGGGCATGGTTCGATGAAAATCTTGGGAACGCCAATTAATGACGCGTTATAGCTATTCCTTATTCGAATATCACGGTCATATTTAGAAGGCGTGCAATCTGGCGCTGTAAAATAATGTAATGTTACATAAGACGATACAGAGAGGCGCGGAGAGAGGGCGGAATATCCTTTCTTAACTGTAATAATAGATTCTGTGACTGACTGACTTTTTTCAACTGATGTTTTTCACGAACTATAATTATAACAACTGCAACGTTATTCCTTTACAATTTTGATATTTTTTTACGTAAATATTCAAACGGTTGAGATAATAGTCTGCTACATTGTTAGAAATAATGTTTATGAAAGAGTTGGTTACATATTTGTGATTAAAATAAAAAGTGCGAATTTCATATTTTCTCCACCTTAAAAAAGGCATATTATTGACTTTTGAAGCCTCTTTTCGTTGTCATTGCGTTATCGATCGGTTTGTCGATCGCGAAGTTCGCATTGATGATTTTATTTATTATGAATCATTGTTGTTGTAGAGATGAGACAGCTTTATTTTAACAGCTGTTCGCCAAGTTTAAAGTGTTTAAATAGACACAATTAAACGGATACGAAAGGAAAGAACAGAAAAAAAAGGTGCGCGTGTGTACGCCTTGGTAATCTTAAAAATTGTTTGCGAAGGGATACCGAGTGTTACACACGGCACAAGTTTTATTATTTCATTTATCTCACTAATCAATATTGTAATAATAGCGCGCAATGACATTCTACATCTTCTTATCTTTTTCAGCTCGGCTGGGGAAACGTCACCTAGTGACGTTCATGATATTCCTCGGTATGGCGAATGCGTATGTGATGAGAACCAACATGTCTGTGGCCATCGTTGCGATGGTTAATCACACAGCCATCAAAGGAACTGAAGAGTTCGTACAAACCTTGGAACGTGAAAATGAGTGCGGAGTGCCTATCACCAACGAGACCGAAGCTGCTCAACGTGTGAGTACACGAAATTCTGCAACTCTTTTTTTTTTTAGAAGTTGTAAAAATTCACGAGAGAAAGTTTAAAAATACATGTCTTTCGCTTTGACGCAGAGCGCTGATGGACCATTCGCATGGACCAACAAGGAGCAGGGCTATCTGTTGAGTTCATTCTTTTGGGGCTATGTTATCACACAGATACCGTTCGGTATACTCGCTAAACGCTACGGCGCCAAATACTTCCTCGGTATCGGCATGCTGATCAATTCGGTCTTTGGTCTGCTGGTCCCCGTGTCCGCATACTGGGGATACTGGTGGCTGATGGTTATACGCTTTATCCAGGGTTTAGGAGAGGTAAGTAACATTTTGAAAACTCCCTCACTACTGCTGTAATACAATAGTTTGATTGAGACTCAAGACGAGAGAACGAAGATGAGAATGTGTGATGTATCGGGATCGGTTATCTATTGTCCAAGTATATAACTTGCTAACAAGTTTCACTCGCTCGTAAGTATAAAGTTCACAAATAGTTTGAACAATTTGAAGCGGTACGTTACGAAGGCGTACGCTATCTGCCTTTTGTCTTAGCTCTTGTTTTCCACATTGTGTTATATTTTGAAAGATTTTGTGATCAATAAAATATAAGAGTCTCTCTGTTCACTTGCAGATATTAGCGTGTAGTATTAGACCGATGGCGTGCAGGTAAGCACGAGCGATAAGACTCGAGCGATAGGCAAATCGATCGATTGCACTTTGACGCTTAAGTTTTACTTACCGCTTAGGTTTCTCCGTGTGGCATCGGTCTTAGTCTTAAGCTTAAAGGATTACTGATCCGTTAGAGTGTGAACGTTTTTTTGATTGTACGGGTGTATTTCCTTCCCCCATAGGAATGGATTAATCCCTATTGCAGGGTCCAATTGTGCCTTGCACGCATGCACTGCTGGCGAAGTGGATACCACCGAACGAACGGAGCAGGATGGGTGCCTTCGTCTATGCCGGTAAGCTCGTTCAGTGCGATCTTCTTCTTTTATGTAGCGATTTGTCGTGTATACCAAGTCGAGAGCTAGTCCGCCGCGAGAGTCCTCTTCTCTGTCTCCATCGAGTCACTACTGTGTGTGTGTACGCGCGGTTCTTGCTGCAACGGGATTTGTGGGACCGTGGACCAGACCTTTTCGATTTCTCGAGTTCTTCCTTTTTAAGCATTTGTTCACAAGGCTTTTTTTCGCTGGTAAAAAGAAAAAGAGTTTAGGAAAGCCCGGTCATGCGATGACGATAACTAATCGCTTTTTTTTTGCATTTTTATTTTTCTTCCCGTCGATAGGTGCACAATTCGGCACCGTAGTTTCCATGCCGTTGAGCGGTCTACTGGCTAATTGGGACTTAGTAGGCGGTTGGCCATCTATTTTCTACGTCTTCGGCGCTATCGGTATCATCTGGTGCATAGCGTTTCTTATATGGGTATATGAAGATCCGGAACAGCATCCAAGCATTACAGAGGATGAGAAGAAATATATACTCAGCGCTCTTTGGGGTAGTGCAGGCATATCGGTAAGTGTTTCTTTGCCGTTGCAACATTAATCCAATGTTTATTTTAATCTGTTATTTCTGATTTTCAACAACACAGTACTGTGATTCCTCAGTAAGTTAATATTCCTTTTTTGTTTCTAGTCATCGCCTCCTGTGCCTTGGAAATCTATCGCACTTTCGCTACCATTCTGGGCTATATTGATGGCGCATATGGGCCAGAATTACGGATATGAGACTCTGATGACGCAGCTTCCGACTTTTATGAAGCAGATTCTCAACTTCAGTATCAAAGAGGTGAGAAATGTTTTTTACGGACGGATCATTTCAGTCAGAGGAAGAATCTTCCCATAATTTTTTCTATTTTGGACAAAGTTATAATTTTTTAATATCGTTTATGTTTCAGAATGGTATATTTTCGGCACTTCCCTACTTTGCTATGTGGATCTTTTCCATGTTTATCTCTCACGTCGCCGATTGGATGATCTCCTCGGGAAAATTCAATCACACCGTGACCCGCAAGATCGTCAACAGTATAGGACAATACTCACCGGCTGTGGCATTAATTGCTGCTTCATACACCGGTTGCGATCCCTGGTTGACGGTGGGCGTCATTACGTTGGGAGTCGGTCTAAACGGTGCTATTTACTCTGGCTTTAAAGTAAATCACCTCGATATCTCTCCGAGATTCGCTGGAATTTTAATGTCTTTCACTAATTGTATTGCCAATCTTGCCGGGCTTCTCGCACCAATCACCGTAGGACAGATCATCGATACGTCGGTAATTGATATTTCTTAAAACGCCAAATGATTAAGCAATTTGGATTAAATTAACAATGCTTATTCACATATTATTGTTTTTTTTTTTCTTTAGCCAACGCAAGCGAAATGGAGAATTGTGTTCATAATTTGCGCTGGTATTTACATTTTATGCGCAACAGTCTTCGTAATTTTCGGCTCTGGTCAGAGACAAGCGTGGGACAATCCAGAAAAGGACGATGAGAAGAGCAGAGACGACGAGGACAAGCAAATAAAAATCAGTGTAAAAATTGTAAACGAGACTCAACATTGACAAGTGAATATTTTATCGATAAGATCAGTGGCCAAACGAAGAAATCGACAATGACGATTGAATCCATCTGGCCATTTCTGCCTGCGTACATTCATTCCCTCCTTATTATTTAATCATTCAAAACGAGGGTACATTAAGACGGTTAAGTTAATCTCAGAATTGTATTTTTCTTTTTTTACCGTAAAGATACAAAATTTTTTTCATGATAGTAATCGTCGTAATTCACATTGTAAAAGTCTTCATACTTTTGTATTGAAAAGTGCAAAAGTTATGTATCTATGATTGTTATATTGTAGTATGTGTGTTTAATGTGAGAGACGATTTATACATGTGTGAAAGAGAGAGAAAGAGAGGGAGAGAAATGAGCGAAAGGAAAGGACGAAGGTGAACATTGCCGTGTCTTTGAGGGATGTATACTCATAATCGAGTTATTGTTGTAAGCTTTGATTTACGCCATTTGTTACATTTTATAATTTATCAATTTTTACATACTTTCGGGTATTATGTAGAATTAATAAATCGCACCCTAAGAACTGGCATATTAGAGAAACGATGGGAGAGATGATTCTCAAAAAGATAAAAAGAGCGAAAACTATTGCTTGCAGATAAGCGAATTTTCATAAATTTGCCGGAAATGTTATGACAAACGAATCATCAATGCAGATATGACTTTGAGAAAATCACTGAAATGTTATTCACAAAATTCTTTTTTAATCATTTTTTAGAGACAATTTGCAAGATAACGTACGTCAATATTCGAATGAAATCTAGGTTGCGCTAGATACATAACGCAGAGCAAAACACAAACATCAGTTTAGACTCTTTTTAAGCGCGATGTAAAACTTATTATTTGCGATATACGATATTATTCGCCAACGCTTCGATAAAACATGTCATTGTCTATTCCGATACATATGATGATTATAAAGTGAGCACTCCGTTCGGACAATTCTTTATTCATTATCGAATTTCATTATCGAATGAAACTCATCGATCTCGGTTTTCCATATTGTAATAGCACATTGACCATTTTGCTTTTATGTAATGAGATGTATATGCGTTATAAGATTCATATGATAGATTGAGTAGATTTACCGTAAACATGTGTGGGAAAGATTTGTCGTAGTGTTTCCCGATGCTTATCTTCAGGTTAGATTTTATGTTTGTAAATTGACAAACTTATGGCAGCAGTATTAGAACAACAATCCTCATCGTTCATCCCTCTTTATTACGTCACATTTTATTGCAACTGCCATTTTGTATTGTGGCCTGGATGAAAGGGTTGAAAGTAATATTTCTTGTTTTGCAAACAACATTTGAAAATTGCGAACTTTTTACCCTTAATTTTGGTCGCGAACAGCACAGTGTTGTACAATACAACAATGGTATTTATACATATTGTAGATATTTACGCGTAGGAGTCCTATTAAGTTATAGATTAGATGAGTTATGCTTGTAGTTATTTATACACAACGTTCGCGAAGGACGAGAAAATATTATTACCTCGATTGTACTAAAATAGAAATCAACGTAATCAAACGTAAAGGTTTTGTACTTGTAAAGTAGAATGCATTTTTTTGCAATCGATAAGTCTCTCTTTTTCTTAAGCGACATAACTAATTTGACAATTGTGATGTTTTTTTTTTTGTATACTTTGGATATGGTCGTTATTTGTCGTACATTTATTACTCCCTTTAAATTTATAATACCACAGGACGAATTCAATCCCTTTAAATATATGTCAAAAAATTTTCTAAAATCGAAATATTCATATCTTCTTTTTATTGCTATTTATTGTTTTTTTTTCTGTTAAAACTAGCATCAGACTATGCAATTTTTCGTGCAACTTATTGTAGCGACTTAATCGCTGCAACTAGTAAGTTGTAGCAATTATTTTTGTAATTTATCACACTACATGCAACTGAAGTAACATTTCCAACAAGTTTTAGATGTAAACTAAACTATTATCAACTATAGAATAAAATATTACAATTATGTTGGTATGAGACATAAAATACTGTTGTTTTTCTAAAACACATAAGATACGAATAAGAAAGCAAAAATATTACTACAATTGCATGCAATTAATTGCTACAATAAAACAATAAAAATCTAAATTTTGTACAATTATTACAATCAAATTACTTCTAAAAATTGCGTAGTACTCTCTAAATTTCTTGGAGTGAAATTTTACTTTTCGAAAAAGTGAAATCGGGACGTCTTAAAGACGTCATTTTTTACATCTTTTTGACACGATGTCTACGTCTTTAAGACGTCTTATGTCCCGACATAAGACATCTTAAAGATTTTAGACATGCGTGCTATCTGGGATTTTGTTAATGTTTTCGATAGAAATTAATTACTTTCATTATTCCGAACTACGTACAAAATATATTAACTTCTCCTGGTTCTGACGCTACCAACGAGAAGGCGATTTCACTTTAAGTTGGAGTGAAGTTTGGAGCGCTAACTCCACGTGGAGTGAACTGGTCAGTAACTCCATGATTCGAGTGAAAATTTAATTCCAAAAAATTTAGAGAGTATGATAATGAAAAAGTTGTGGCAATTTATCACGGCATTCGAATTGCAACAAATTGTATAGTCTGTTACATGGGCTTAACAAAGAAATAGTTGTTATACTTGAGAATATTTAGCGTGGTTTAATTCTAATTGTTAATGTTATCTCTTGTTTCACAGTTTTTAAGTTTCGAAAGAAAGAAGCTCGCATATGAGATTTCTTTGCTTGTAAAGACGAGTCTAAAACGATAGAATTGTTTAAAAACTGAGAGAATAATTAAATATTTGTAAAAAAAATACATTATCTGGGTTCTTTATCTTTCTTATAAAATTATTTTGCTTAGACTTTGTATAAAAATTTTTTATTTTAGCAGCATATATTAATTACGAATAGAGGGGATGAAAATTGAGTGTAAATGTCCTGTGATCGTGTACCTAAAAGTGCCTTCAACAACTAGCGTTTCTTTTCATACTGTATTGTTAATTCTCGCGCAACTTTAAGCAGAAAAATGCCAAAGTGTTTATGAATATTCGAAATTGTTACAAGTTTGTTGATTTTCAAATATGTGTATACATGAAAGATATTTAAAAATTCTTTTACTGTACTTCTGATATAGTGTAACGCGGGTAATTAATAATTATGATTGTCAATTGATTTGGAAACATACAATAAGAAAGTTACCAAACGGTAGATGATGAAATGATTCAATGCAAAATTTTACAAACCCATATTTTTATACAAATACATATTTATACATAATGTACATAGGACGATACACGATCTTTTTGCGATGTTACAATGTTAAATATATTTTTATTGTTGGGATTGTAAAATACATGTGATAATAGAATTGCATAAATAAAACACCATCTAATAACCGTAATAAAATGTTACTATTGTCTTTTATTTATTCTATTTTTTTAAGAGTGAACAATATTTTTTGTATGTTTTACATTCATTTTTATTATAAGAATCTTGAGAAGCTCATAAGGTATTTGAGAAATTCTTGCTTGATTAAAATTTTTTTATTAAAATATATAATGAGTATTAAAAGAGTATTAATTTGTTTATTATTAAAAAATCAATATTAACAGTTCTTATATCAAAAATAATATTTTCAAAAGGTATATGTGTAAAAATATACAGTAAATATTAATTTTATTTCATATAATTATTATTTAAAATAGTGGGCATATTTTTAAAAACTAATTATTTTATTTTACTTTTTCGAAAATATTGTAACAATTTTTCACATACATTTTTATCGTGTAAAATATGTCATTATTATTAATTTTATCCAAGACTCAAACCAAATGGCTTGCGCATGTGTGCGGTACCCCCTCTATTCGTGCTGCTTGCTTCATGTTTGTGACTCATGTTTGTAAATGTCATTAATTGTCAGATAGTAAGTTGATGTACATTGGTGTATCTACATTTCTGAAATATAGTGAATCATTGACCATATTCAACAAACGTCGCATTTTAGCCATTACAATTTATAAACGTAAATATGAACAAGTTTCTTATTTTATATCTTTGCTTGGTTTCGATCGTGGTATTTTGTGCTATCTTTAGGTTAAGTGTATAGATTTTAGAGAGTGATGTCTCTCATTTATTTTCATTATTCATAGTTATTAAAAAATTTTGGACATAATATTTTTGGAAATTTACGTTAAATATACTACTATATCTAAAAAGGTTGTCAGAAAATAAATACATTATTTCATTAATTTTAAAAAAGAGCTAGTTTAGACACTTAAAATTGAAGTTAAATCTTTAGGTAATTTTTTTGTACTGTGCTAATACATTATAACCAAATTTAATAACATTTTTAATATCTTTTACTTTTAGTCTAATATTATCTTTAAAATTCTTATTTTTTGGGAGTAAAATTAATTTAGGCCATTGTAGCAATGTGGAAAACTTGTAGTAGAAAAGTAGATATTGTGCAATATATTGACAAACATGAGAAAATATTTTGCATTATTATTACACTCATAGATTTTGATGTCAGAAATGTTTCTGGGACCTAGTTTTTTTATCATTAATTATCATTAATTATCATACCATTGAATCATTATTACATTATATGTCAAATTGTATCATTGTGCAATATGTTACATTGTATCTTGTATATATCTTGTATACTGTATCTAAGCAACAATTATCTGTATTATTCTTTATTCTTAAGAAATATAATTGTTACAGGTTATTCGTTGGGATGTGAATGATGCAGTTGATTCAAACGTTTGTACACCTCGTTGTGCTCGTCTCAACGGCGAGATGCAGCGATATAACGTCTGCCGTATTCGGCAGTGTACTGGATGGCATGCCGGCGGCATTCGGTGACTTTAATTCCGACGAATTGACAGATGTGTTTATGTTGCGCAATGGTACGGTTGAAATATTTCTGGCGGCTGAGCAGGAACCTCTATTGCGACCCACTCCAGACCTAAACTGTTCGTTCAAGGACCTGGTTACAAGCGTGGTGCCTGGTGACTTTGATGGGGATGTCTTCATGGACATTCTAGTAACGACCTTTAATAAAACTACGAAAAGTACTTATGCGCACATACTGTGGGGCGGAAACGGTCACCTGAACTGCAGTGACGAACGGAATCCTCTGATAGAGATGCGCGAACAGCCATTAGCGTTGGACGTTAATCGAGACATGATAATTGATCTCTTCGGGGTAGACATGCATGACAAAAGAGTGTATTGGATATTCAACGAGAATAGGATTCCTACTGTCAGAAAAATGCCTGAGCCAGAAGAGTTGAAGCCAATGAAACCCGTGAGAAGCCCACACTCTAACGCCTTCCTGGATTTAAACAGCGACTTTCTGCCAGATCTTGTGGTGACTACAAAGAAGGCTTTTGAAATATGGCTGGGTACGGAGCAAGAATTCCAGTTTTCTCACGAGATTTTTCTTCCATATAATATCTCAGTCGATGAACACTTTAAAGGGGTGATCGGACAAACTCTCTATTTGGACGTTGAGCTGACCGGCAAAATGGCTCTCCTGCTGCCGTTGTGTTTCGATGAGGCCTGCAACAATTGCACGATAATGATGCATTTGAACGACAGTTGGCACAATCTGCGAGTAAACTTCCGCGACACGAACAGCGTGCTATGGAGTTTCGTGAAACCGGACGGCCAGCGTTACACAAATACCATCACTCTGCGCGGCGGCGACTTCAACATGGACGGCTATCCAGATCTGCTGGCAACACTACAATCCAGCAGTACGAAACACAAACAGTCGTTCCTGCTTCAGAACGTGGAGTGCAATACTAATTGCGTCGGCTTCAACCGCACCTTCAGCATCAAATGGCAGGCGTTGAATCCATTCTACAATGAGACCGCGATGGCGGTGTTCTATGATTTTTATCAAGACGGCATTCTGGATGTGATTCTAGTGGAATTCGACAAGGCAAACAATGCCAATCCCTATCGCACTGCGGCGTTCAAGAACAGTCTGGACTACGACGCGAATTTCGTCAAGGTGATGGTGCTCACCGGACGCACCAATAGTATGTATCCCATCTCGCCGGGCTCGCTGGGCAAGAAAAAGAGAACCTATGGCACCAATCTACCGGGGCCGTCGATCGCGTACAGAACAACTACACAGGACGGCAGTCCTCGCAACGCGATCGCCGCGCAGTTACCGCAGAGCGCACACTTCTCGCTTAACTTGCCGTACACTACTTTTGGTTTGGGAAGAACACCTAACTTTGTGGACGCTCTCACGATAGGAGTAAGTGACAATATAAAAATAATCGACTTTTAAGGTCGATTGTAACTATTGTGGATTAAGATTAATCTAAGATTAAGCAGAAATCCGTTTCTTACTTCACAAATAAAATTGAAATTGATTGATTGCTCATCTAATGTTAATGTTATTCGATCTTAACGAATTAAATGTCAGAGCGTTTCTCTAAAAAAATATTTATTTTTCTAGGTTGGTGGTAAATCGCGAGAATGGCCGCAGATCATTCCTAATTCACAGATGGTTGTGATACCAAATCCGATTGCCGAACCATCGAGATGGAAAGCTCAACTATTCGTCACGCCCAGTAAATTAATTCTACTAAGTGCGGCTGCTTTAACCGGTACGTGTGGTCTCATCACGGCTATCATTGTCGGCTTGTACTGGAAAGAGAGGAGAGAAGACAAAATCGAGAAACTCCAAGAAGCGCACAGATTCCACTTCGATGCGATGTAAAAAGATGGACAGACAGGAGAGAGAGAGAGAATAGAAGGAGGAAGCAATATATATAATTAAGGTTTATTTAAGAGATATCAGTTTATTGATATAATAATTATTTAATAAATGAATCGCGTTCTTAATATCCTACTCAATCTTGCATAAATTCTGCACATTATTCGCGACTCTGGCAGCGCGTCGCGTCTTTCTTTTCCATCATCAAATTTTCACTTTCGGTGCGAAGAAATTGCTGTCAGAGAAAAAATTAACGATTTTTCGAAACTCCTTTCGCTTCTATAAAACAACAAGACTCATCGATGTCTTTTTCTTTTCGCGGGGCAGTCACCACGTCGAATATGTAATATATATATATATATTTGTATATATATTAACAAACGATCTTTGCTGGAGTGTTTTCTTTTTCCATATTTTGGTCGCTGCGCACTTTACGCGCCGTGTGTGCTTTCGGTCGATCTAAGCTAAGAGGGATGATTCGCTATTGGCATCGGTCATTCTTTATTGTAGGATTTAAGTCGTTGAAGTATGGATGCGCCATTGCTTCCTCCGCCGACAGCCGTAGAGCCGGATTACACACTAATAATCTCTGTACATCAATCAGACATTGTACAGTTGATAAGGATTCAAGGCTTGACGTAAAAGAGCTGAGTGATATTTTTGTAAAATTGTTTTTTTCAATAACGTAGTCTTTTGATATTTCTTTTAGTTTTTAAAGAAATAAGATATTTGGAAACGTGACCTTCTACTTTTGATATTTTTGCTTATATGTGACGCAGTTTTTTTAATTCAAGGCTTGAATCGAGATTGGGACTTTGTCTCATATATCAAGTAAGATAATTGAGACTATTCCTTTTTGATCATTTATTATATAGATATTTATAATACTGTTTTAAATTATTTGCATTTCTAGTCTCACTATAATTATCTTATATTCTTTTTGTTCATTAGATATCGTTCTTTTCAATTGTTATAGATCTATTAGTATCAACAAGAAAGCTTTAGTAATATGCAATTTTATATATATGCTAAATAATTGCATTTGTTTTTAGTATTTCTGCTCTTTCGACAATGAAAATAAAAGATAATTTACCTGGAGTAAGTCTTTGCCTCTTGAAGTGAGTTTTGGTGTAACCTGCGCCAGTCCTTGCGTAGGATGGTACTGTGGAAAGGGCTTGTAATCGGGAAGTGTCGTTAAATCGGGCCAGGTCTCCTCGGTGGGTGTGCCCAACATTTTAAATATTCTTTTCAATTGATCGTCTACGTCCGATCCGGGAAAGAGCGGTCTGCCGGCGTTTGCAAGTTCTGCGGTACATCAACATATTATATAAAAGATTGACAATCTTTTATATAATACTCAAATGATGGACTGACTTTTAGGAAAGAAAAGTCGCCGGTTACCTGCGAATATGCATCCTGCACTCCACATATCAATGGACGTTGTATATAATTTTGCTCCGAAAAGAACATCCGGGGGACGGTACCATAATGTAACAACTTCTGCCGAGTAACATTTCACAGGGATACCAAACGCCCTTGCTAATCCGAAATCAGCGAGCTTCAGCTCCCCATTCTGTAAACATTTCTCTATTTGATTTAATACATAAATAACAAGATAAGTACACAGTTGTGAGTACAAAATATCAATGATATATTAAAACATGACCGTAGAAATAGTTGCATCTTTACCTTATTGATGAGTAAGTTCTGCGGTTTGAGATCTCTATGCAGAACATTTCGGCTATGGCAGAACGCTAGTCCTCTTAATAATTGATATCTGAAAGCAAATATAAATTTATAATAATCTGGCTTGTGTATGAAATAATCATAAATAAATTTCTGAATACAAGTATTTTACAGGAATGATTTGACGACGTCTAAATCAATCTCCCCATTTAGACTGTCGAAGTACTTCTTGAGATCCTGGTCGCAGTGCTCAAACACCAAGGTGAGTTTCTTGTCGCTGTGCAGCACATCATAGAGACGAACTATATTCTTATGCTTGAGTTCCTTCAGAAGACAGATCTCCCGTAGTGCTGACGACGGTACACCCTTGGCAACGTAAAGAGCACACGAGCGATAAGACGCTAATATCAAGGAGAACGGATCGGCCTTCGTCGAAGGGATTATTTTCGACGTGACACGAGGAGAGTATCGCGTTATAAATAAAACACGAGCGATCGATTAATTAAATTAATCGGAACGCCGGTGTCGCGGCAAACAGCAGGTGGGGGACTGCAACGAGGGGGATTACATTGTGAGGTGAATAAAAAAAAAAAAGGGGGAAAGAAACAAATCGCGCAAGCACTACCTACTTCATCGTCATCGTCCAGTCGCACCCGCTTCAGCGCGACGATTTCGTGTGTCTCGCGATTCTTGGCTTTGAACACGGTGCCATAAGTGCCTGGAAAGAAGAAATGCGAGTTGGAGCAGAGGTATTACGATACGGTCTTAGCGTTGTGTTGACAGCGGCGGGTACACCGGGGACCGCGCGACACACGGGCGACGCCGGACGACGCGGGCAAACGATGCGACGTCCACCCGCCGCCCTGCGCTCCACGCGAACACCACGAACGGCTCACCTTCTCCTATTTTTTCGAGCTTCTCATACTTTTGCATATTTTTGCTGATGACACGGGCGGAACGCGCACGCACGCACGCACTGTCGCGCACAGTGTTTCACCACTGCACGCTCGCGCCCCGGCGGACACTTTGACGCGCAACGTCGCCAACTTGAGATCTTATCGTCAGGTGCTACCAACGGACAAAAGTTGCAGCGTTTCAGATCTACTCCTTTCAGTGGCACTTTCTGCACTCTTCTCAGTTTCACTCCCTTCATTCAAATGAGTATATATTAGTTAGTTTACGTTATTACATTTTATTATCTTAATATCACGTTATTTCTTTGAACGCAGAAAATATAACGTAGTGGAAAAAGTGAAATTTCTTACACAGCAAGCAAAATGTCAGAAAACTGTCTGCTGGTAATTTTAAATAGATAAATTAAATATGGAAATAGTCGCTCTATCATGTTTATTCATAATAATGTATTATTTAGACCAGTGCTCGGAATTAGTCTGAACATTTCAGCCGATTTCCGTGGTATACGCCTCCTTTCCTCTTCTTACCGCGCGCGCCGCAGCCGCTAGGGCCAGCGCCGCCGAGCGTTAGGAGCGACACTATCTGATTATGAGTGGGTTCTTCTCCCTATTTATTAAAATTTAAAAAATGTATTAAAATTTATTAAAATAAATTTTTATTTTAAATTTATTAAGTGGAAATATTTTAATAGATTTCTATGTCACCCATGAGGTACTAATACTGACACGTTTTTCAAAAAGTGGTTTTTATCTACATTATTGCATCAATTGT